TCCTTCATATTTCTTTGAATAGCACGTTCAGAGCCATTAGCTATACCAATAGTCTTTGCCACCTTGAAATGACTAGAAGAAGCAAAGCCAAAATTGGCATCTTCTACTGCCTCAATTGCTTCACACTCATATTGAGCAAGTACTTGCTTTCGACCTCGATTATGGACTTTCTGACTGCGGCGCACAGTTCCTTCTTTGATGATTCGATAGCTAGTTGTTTCAGATATATTATGTATCTTAAATAGCTCTGTACGAGGTAGTTTGCCAGCTGTGTGGCGTGCATCGGCGAGGAGGCGCGCGCGGCGCGGCGTATCAAGCATCGTTTTTAGCGTTCGTGGGGCCGCAGGAGAAGGAGGATCTATCGAATAAGACTTTCGGCAGACGCACCGTCTATTTCCCTGTTCAGAACTCATTATTCCCTAAATTTGAGTGAGTATTGGTAGAGAAATAGGGGAATGAAGTAGGGGGGGAGAGGAAGGGGATCTGAGAACTCCCGTAAATTTTGGCGCCAAGCTTCGGCCCGATATGACACCGTATTCAGCATACCGTCCCTAGTCTTAAGATCTTGCCCATCCCCCTGACAGTTGGACTGTGCGAGAGGCTCTGGAACTGATTCACTCAGAAGACAATTCTACACTGAGTTTGTGACGTGATGCTGTCGATTCGCTTGACGCTGTTCAGTAGCACCTTCTGTCAGACATGAGCCAGTTTACAGTCCTTTTGGTCCAACACTTTCACATATTCGCCCAGCTAGGTCGAAGCCTCACATTAAAGTGGTCAATTCAAAACCTTATACACAAGATCACTCTCACATTTAGCTTTGGGGTTCGGTACAGAGCATTTTATACAGACACAATATCAAATAGATATTCTTGGGTGTGGCAAACTCAAAATCTCTACTTGAAAACAGACCTCTTCCGCAAAGAATAAATGTCTCCACTTGACTGACAATGTGTATTTGCAACGTGGGGAGCTAAGTCACCACGTAGAATTATTAAAGAGGAAGAAAATCTCTGTAGACTGTTACAACTAGCATCTATCTGACCTACTCACAGTCCTTGTAAAATAACATGTTTCCCGTGGTGTTCTACGTAGTAAGTAATTTAATTCAGTTAAAACTTAAGTATGCATCAGCCACTACTAGCGGCCTCGGCTCGCGGCTTCTTGTGGCTTCTGCCTTGATTGAGTAGCTAGTGACCGTGCCGTGTTTTCATCTCCAGCGGCATTATTTACATTATTTATGTTATTTCATGTGGCCTCTGTAAGAGCTCGTCATGAACAAGAATTTGGTCTTCTTTGTGTCCATTCCTGTTGGCTCAAGCCAGGTGACTAGGCGTTTCCCAGAATTGGAGTAGTTCGGCGACCAGAAATTGTTCATCCTCTGTCCACCATACTCTGCCATCCAGCTCCCGCGTCATAGCAATCCGTCAGCCCTCAGCTCAGCACGATGGCCACCTCAGATGACGAATTGGCCTACCTCCAGCCAGGGTTTGCGTTATCGTCCTTGACTGTTCCGAAACTGCGATCCATTCTTGTATCGCACGACATCACCTATCCCTCCTCCGCAAAGAAACCTCAGCTGATCCAGCTCGTTGAAGACCATGTTCTACCCCATTCGCGCAAGATCCTCAATGCTAGAGCACACACCAAGCGCACAAGTAAAGGCATTACCGACATGCCGAGCAGTCAGGAATCGAGCACGGTTGACGGAGAAGATGAGGACGAAATGCCACCACCACCTGTGCCAGCAAAGACGCCGGCAGCGGCTGCCGCCAAAGAAGAAGAGTCGTCTCCTCCACCTACCACCGCAAGAAGGGCTCCGACACCAGGTGGAAGAAAGAACACCGTTAAACATCCAAGAGTCTCGGATACGGACACAGATACGGAGAAGATCAGGCCATCTGCGAGGAAAACTAGGAAGAGCGAAGCTCCTACAATCGTGTTAGCCCCTCATGTCCATATCGATGAGCCTGATCTACCGGTCAAATCGGAGCGCAGGGCCAATGGTGAAAGTCCATTTACATATGACAATCCCTTCCAGTCAGGCAGTTCCCCATCTGCTGACAATCGAAGAATATCAGCATCGTCAAGCCGGTCTCGTAAAAGCCTGGGTAACGTCAAAGAGGACCGGAGGAAATCGAGCAGCGCACGACGGAAAACCACATCTCCGAATGAGCGTCCTGCAGAACAGGAAGATGGCATTACCGCTCCATCTCGCAGCACGTTCGAGTTCCCAGTCTCACGTATCAAAGCTGAGCGTCAGGAAGAAATAGAACCGACCGAAGAATTCACACCGGAAGAGCAATTGGAGCTCGTTCGCGACCGAGCAGCCCAGGGCTACTCGGGTAGTCAACTCATTCCAGCCCGTCAATCTACTCTAACTCGTCGAGCAAGACAGCCAGCCAGCACAGCCACCAAATCTGCCACTTGGGGTGTCCTTCTCACGCTGCTAGGATCAATAGGCGCATGGTACCGCAAAGAAAAGATCGATATCGGCTATTGTGGTGTCGGTCAACCCGATTGGTCGCTCTCGAACTACAACACCAACATTCCTACTTGGGTCAAAGATACTCTACAGCCTGCCTGCGAGCCATGCCCTCAACATGCCTTCTGCTACCCCAGCATGGAGATCAAATGTGAGCATGATTTTGTGCTGAAGCCACATCCGCTGAGCCTGGGAGGCTTGATTCCGCTGCCACCCACCTGTGAACCTGATGGTGAGAAAGTCCGTAGGGTAAAAATGGTGGCTGACAGAGCTGTGGAAGAGCTGAGAGAGCGCAGGGCAGCTTTCGAATGTGGAGAGGATATCAAGAATCTACAGAGTACGGAGGACAGTGGGGAAGGCCAGACAATCGTGAGAGCCAGCAAGCCTAAGTTGGAGATTTCAGAAGAGGCGCTGAGGGAGGAAGTGGGCAAGATGAGGCGCAAGGGCATGTCGGATGCTGAATTCAACGATCTCTGGCAGGGGGCGCTCGGGGAGATTACTGGACGAGAAGAAGTTGAGGTCATTCGAGATGGGTAAGTTTGACCTTTTTTGGTTCTCTTCTCCACTCTCCACAGCAAGTCTCCACTTCTGCGAAGCTCACCCTCCTATGTAATTTACCATGACAATAACCAAAAAAAAAACCAATTCACTGATCCCTACTGACCTCAGCCTCCCCCTCCCCCACTCAACAGATCTGGCTCTATCCTCCTCTCCAGCAGCTCCCTCGCCCGCTTCCCCCTCGGCTGCGCCATCCGGCTCTCCGTCCTCCGCACTCTATCCCGAAATCGACTCCCTCTTTCAGTTCTAGCCGTCGTCATCCTCAGTAGCATCTACGCCCGCCACAAAGTCACCACCTACCGCTCCGCCACCGCACAAATCCCCACCCTCGTCAACACGACCCTGGACCGCCTCGCAACGCAGGCCGCGCTGGTTGCTGACGGCAGAGTCAGCGAGGGCTTCATCAGCGTCGGCCAGTTGAGGGATGATGTGTTGAGGAGCACGTTTAGCAAGGAGGAGAGAGAACGGATCTGGGCCGGCGTCAAGCGGGTGGTGGAGCAGAATTCGAATGTGAGGGCTGGGAACCGCGAGGGCGAGAGGACCGGCGAATGGAGTCGGGTTTGGGAGTGGATTGGGCCGGTGGATTTCCAGGTTAGGGGGTTAGAGGGGGGGAGAAGGAGTGGAGGCTTGATCAGGGAGGCGGGAGAGGAGGAACAGCAGCAGAATCATGCCGAAGGCGGAGAGCTAGTACAGGGCAGTAGTAGGAAATGGGACGAAGGGAGGCCGATTTATTGAGGCATGGTTTCTTTTTTTCCCGGCATGGGATGCACGGGAGCGATGATGGGGGCGGGGTTGAAAAGGGCACAGCTTGGGGACTTCTCTACCTTTAGGCGTCGGTCGGCTTCACCGACACAGCTGTGTCTTGGTGATCAATTGTGGAGTAGAGAGCGCTTCTTTGATGCTGGCCGAGTTTTTCGTCCGCGTCCTAACCTACCTACCGAAGTATGGAATAACACATTAGTTTGATCTGTCAACTATCTAGTCCCGCTCCTGTGATTGCTGGCATCGCTGCTCAACCGTATTTTACTCAGTTAACTTACACTTGGAACATGCATTGCTGATGCCCCACTCATTCTGAGAGGGGAATGGGAAGGACATTCATTGATTCATTCATTCATGATTCAACAAGACACGACGCCAACATTTTCGTTGATCTGTCTGTTACTTTACCCTGTCTATCGTCTATCGTCAAGGGAGTCGTGCCTTCACAGGAAAGGGGGTGGTTTTAGAGGCGTGTTAGGGGGTAGGTGGGCAGGCCGGTAGGTTAGTCGGTAGTCGGTAGTCGGTAGATTACATATTTACTGGGTCGTCAGCGAAAAGGTGGGTAAAACCGATCCCCGGTCCAGAGTACTCCGAATAACTACCGTGAAGACAGCCTGCGTGGGATCTGATTTCCGTTTTTACATCTTCAGAGCAGCATCCTTTGGCATCTCAACTTTTGAAACCTCGATCTGATAAGTAAGGGAAGGGGGAAAAACTGATTGGACGATTTTCATTCCCTTGCTTCCGCAACGCAATGCAACGCAACGCCTCTAACTGGAGGGTTTTTATCCTTTTCTTTTTCAAGCTCGAGAGAACTCTCCATTTTTCTTAGTGGCCCATCATGTAAGTAGGTAGGTAGGTAGGTAGGCAGGTAAGTTTAGCTTTGAGATTGAATATGTCCATCGCATCTATCGGGCCCCATCATCGCATTCGACTTCTCCCATATTTCCCCCCATCATGAAGAAAGAATCTCCCCGTCCCCGATCTCATCCCCAGCAGGAAACCTGACCGACTGGGAAAGCGAACCAATATCGTAACAAAGAAAAGAAGAAGGAAAAAAGGTGTCCCGTATTTTGGTCGCCGTGATGAACATTCCACCTCCAAAGCCCACCAAAGCTAAATATGTAACATGTGTCGTGATCGACCACTTGTTTTAGCACTGGGAAGGAATCCCACCACCACAAAGAAAATAGAGAGAAAAAAACGCCAGGCCTATGCAGACTCGCTAGAACGCACGCAAAGCAATGTCAAAAGAAAAGAGACAAGAAGAAACAGAGGCGAACCAAAAACCCAACACGATCGGCCTCTCTCTCTCCCTCTCTCCCACCCAATCCATGTTCCCAAGGGATAAGAAATGGCGCCTGTATGCCCCCATCGTCCATTCCCCGTGTATGTATGTGAGTAGGTAAGTAGGTATTCACGCCATCTGTGCAAGGCTCTTCGGCGTTAAAGCTACCCAAGCACTCCACTCTCCTCCAAAGTTTTCATGTGTTCCCTCAGGGTTCTGAGATCTTCCTTCATGGAAATGTAATCCGGATTCTCCTTTTTAAAGTCAGCAAACTCCTTCAGCGCCTTGCTGATGTCTATCATGACTTGGGCGATGGGTCGCGCGTGGTCGTAGAGCGTGTCGCCTCCCTTTAGGGGCTTGGTCATGTGTCGGATCTGGAGGGTAGTTGTGCATGTCTAGTGGGTTGTGGTCAGCATAAATATGGTATCATGGTAAGAAATCGATGCTCACCTCGATTCGCGTGACCTGATGATCCAGGAGATTCATCATGAATGCGTCGCTGATCTCACCACCTTGGTTCTTCATGCGATTTAGGAGACTCAACTCTGGCTTGTTCAAACCTTGTGCTTTTTCCGGACTCTCGAGGGCTGAGCACAGCATTTCCAACCTTAATGCCAGATCCCATAACTGCCATACAGAGTCTGGGTTAATGTTGAGCTCTGAATTCTTGCCCAAAGTACCTGGCTCGTTACCCTGCCCAGCTTCGGTAGATTTATCCGAACCAGGCGGCACAGCCAATCGACCAGCCAGCGAGTGCGGATACATCAAGAAGACGTATTCAGGATTCTCGAGACCCTTCAATTTCTTCTCACCCAGATCCTTGACTTCGAATCCTTGGCTGCTGAGTTGTCGAAGCTCTCGACGAATCTCGTTACCCATTGCATCCTCGTTGATCGTGTCGTCCGAACCGGTAGAACTCGATCTTTCATCGGCATATGCTTCAAGGGTTCGCTGGATCTCTCCAATGAAATCGCTGGAGACAGATATTTGGCCGCCGTCCGCAACAGCAGATATACGAGCAGCTCGATTGACCATGGGGCCAAAATAGTCCATACGTCGTGTGATTGGATCCTGCTCACACACGGGCTTGCCCCAATGTATACCCATCCGAACCGATAGACCGCGGTAGATCATATTCCCGTCCGCATCGTACTTCTCCTGGCAGTGGACCGTGTCAATAATCTCGGTTGGCCAGGCCAAATCCAATAGGTGGCTTTGACAAGAAAAACACCACAGTAACGCCGATGTACAGGTCGGGAAAGACACCATGAAAGCATCTCCTTCAGTTTTAACTTCGTAACCACCAATCAGGCGTAGTTGTCGTCTCATGAGCTCATTGTGCATCTGAATAGCCGATCTCATCGCAGAGGGCAGAATCTCCCAGAGCGCAGTGGAATTCTTGATGTCGGTGAATACAATGGCCACTTCGCCGGTAGGAGGTTCCACCTCTTCCAGCCTTGCCAGGCGGGAATCGCCAACACCTTCACGATTCCTTCTGCGGATTCTGGAAGGGAAAAGTTGATCCTCCTGGCCGTAAGAAGGTTGCATGGACAGACTGGTGCCCCGAAGACGGCTGTTGTTGCGCTTCCGTAGGTCGCTAATGCCCATGGCCATCACCATGATCTTGTTATTGGCACCATATGCCATTGCCAGATCTCTCAACTTCTGTGCCGCAAGCATTACGTCTGCTTTCTCAGCTCGAGCAACATCGACTGCCAGATCAGGCGTCACGAACTCCCAGAACTCCTTTGATGCAAGAACGATCATTTCATCGCTATCACTCAATGTGACCTGTAACGTATGAGGAGCCGCAATCACTGACGGCATAAGTTGGAAATACCCAAAGGCTCGGGAAACCTCAAGGACGTCATTGAGCTTGCCTTGCCGTGACACATAACCACCGGCATTCCGGATGCGTTCTCTTTCACGAGGATAGGCAGGGTCGTGCTTGGTAGTCAGGAACTTGTATTGGGCGTTGTTCTGAATGAGCATCGCTTGCGCGTCTCCAACATTGGCAACGAACAACTCTGTTTGATGAAGATAGAGCACCGTAGCCACGCCTCCGGAATTGAGGTCGTCCTGACTCAACACCTGTGAAACACTAGATGATCGTGCGCCACGTAAAGCACGGTTTTCGCGAGCATCAATTGTTTGGATGGCAGCAGAAGCCATGTTCCTGTTCAGAGATAGGAATGTCCTCCTGAGAGCACCCAGAGTGCCAGTGTAATCATCAGACAATCTTAACAGCTCTTCTATGAACATCTCTCGGAACGATTCATGCAGGTATTTTGCTATTTTCGAGCCTCCGCTCGACAATGGTTGACCATCGAACAGGCCGACAAGCGTTTCTTCTTCTCGGCCTCGGAAGCGCGGTATCACCATATCAAGGATGGAAAGATGCTCGTGGCGGCCAATGGTATCTGCCACACCATAACTGATCTGACCAGCAAGCGAGGCAGACAACCTGACTCGACGGTCTTCGGTCGGCTCTGGTGTGGTGGGAATTGTCAGTGTCACATCCATCAGACCGAGCACACGAAGATAATGCAATGAAGAGAAGCTTGTCAGGTCAACTCCGTTCTGAGCGGTGGTGCTCTGATGAGAACTGGCTGGTTTGATCTCTAAACGCTTGTTTCCTGAAAAGTTGAGATACTTCAGATTGCGGTTGTAATTCCAATTCCAGTCATAGGGCCAATTAGAGACATTATACTTCAGAAAATTACTGCCGAGATCAAGTATGGTAAGTTTGTGGACTTTACAGAGTTCGGCAGGCAGGACCTGAAATTTATTGGCGTTGAGATGTAGGATTTTGAGATTGCTGCCTTCTTCTAGATCGTCGGACGGCAGGGTCGTGAGCTCATTTCCAGAAAGATATAGCTCTGTTAAATTTGCAAACCGTCGAAGAACGCCTTGCGGAAGGTCCGTAAGCTCGTTGTAGGACAAGTTTAACAAGCGAAGTTCTGGAAGCATGTAGAGTTCTCGGAAAATGTCGTCCTCTAATCGATTGTCTGCCAGATGAAGATACTTCAAGGACCCAGCAAATGTGTTTGAGAACTTGCTTTGCGAGATGTTCGAATCTTTCCGAGTGACAGGAGTCATTGTCCCGTCTGTAGCCGTCTTGGAGACGACGGATGCTTTCCTCCCAGCCTGCACGTATCCCGAGACAGTGGAGCCTTTTCGCTGAGAGCTAGCAGGTGAACTCCCAATACTGAGCATGCCTGAAGCTTGACTAGGCCTACGATGGCCAAAATCTTCGAGCTTCCCAAGCTCTTCGTAGCTAGGTGACGATGACAGGCCAGGCGTTGTGACTGGTGTGATATGTGCATTTGCTTGAGGTGGAGCAGTGCCCATTTTGGGGAAGCTCTCGAGCACGTTGGACGAGACATTCAACGTCTCCAGCTTGAGACAATACCATATCTCTGAAGGTAGGCTCTTCAGGTTGCATTCTCGGAGGTTTAGAAACCTGAGCTCAGTGAGATTTCCAATCGATGGGGGAATTGTGTTCAAAGGATTCTTTGCGATACTGAAGTGCTCTAGCTTCGACAGGCGGCCGATCTGCAATGGCATATTTATGAAATGGTTTTTGTCGAGGTTAAGTTTTTGTAGGTTGGGCATGTTCTCAAACATACTATCTTTGAACGACGGAAGCTTCGCGGATGCGAGGTTGATCGAAATGAGTGTTGGCATAGGACTATCAATGTCGAACGAAGTAACAGGACAGTGGTCCATCACAAGACTCCGCAATTTTGGGAACGAACCAGCGAAAGTCGAAATGCCATTATGACCAACAAGAAGCGTCTCAAGGTTAGGCAAAAGTGTGGCATTATCAATGTTCGTGATGCCGTTGAAACGAGCATCGATCTCTTTTAAGTTGATCATGTTCTTGAAAGTTTCATTGAGAGGCCCCTTCAGATCATTGTTGGTCACCCACAACCGCTCAAGGGTCGTGATTTGACCAATGTTAGTCAAGGCTGATATCTTATTGAAGCTGATGTCTAGATCAACCAGAGACTTCATCCCGCATATGAGTCCCGGAAATCCGGTGAAGTTGTTGGAAGACATAAGCAAGCTTCTTAGATGGCGGAAGTTCGCAAAGTATGCCGGTAGCTCAGACAATTTGTTGTTGGCCATCTTGATGCTTACCAAACTTGATAGCCTGTCAAGTTCCGCGCTTTTCAGCTGCTCGAGCCGATTGTTCGAGATGTCCAGCACTGTCAAGCGGCTGGCCCAACTGAGACTGGCCGGTAGCCTCCATGCCTCATTACCACTAAATTTGATCTCGCGAAGGTTGATACAGGCTTGAATAAAGTCCCGCGGAACATCTAGCGCCAGGTTGCGGGATAGATTGATGGAGATGATCTCGCTCGCCTTCTTGTACAAGGTGATTGGTATGGTAACGAGGGAAAGACCTTGCAAGTCTACATGGCTGAATTTCTGCATCTTGCTGAACCCAGGATCTTTGTCTAGTGCACTGCCGTATCCAGTCAATTTACGATGAGTAAACGTAAAACGGCAGAGATAGCTGTTGTCCTCGCGGCCAACTTCTTCTATGCGATCGCTACTTTCGTAACCAGCCTGTTCGAGCATCTTCTTCTGCATGGCCACTGGCCTTTCCCCGTTCTGCAGCTGTCGCGACAGATCATGCTTCCGTAGGACAAGGTGATAGTTTTCTATAGTATCTTGTAGAACAGACTTCTTGGCCAGCATACTAAGAATGTCCGCCACAGTGGCATTGATCGAGGTTGAGATAGTAGCAAACGTCGAATCAGTCCTGAAGACCCGCATACAGTAGGACTTGCCATCGTTTTCTTCGATTGCGGGTAGGCCATTTTCATCGACTTCTGGCAACGCACCGAGAATGTCTTCGTCATGCTTCTTGACAGCCCAGCTGTCAGGCGCATCCCAAGCTGGAGCGGCGGGATCCTGCATTGACCCGTGACCATCTCTAGGCGTAGGGCCAGCAAACATCTCGGCAGCTGCTGGCCCCGGAGATGTTGGCTTTGGCTGACTGATGATGCCCGACATGTCGTCTAGGTCAGTATCTAGACTAAATATGCCGACCGGCTGTTGTTGTGCTTGCGAACCCTGGCGAGCCCTTTCCCCCGAATGTCCTTCATAGCTCATTCCTCGCTTCGGATGTATGCGAGGGAATCTATGCGACGTTTTGGATGTGTTGGTAAACCGCTTATCCAAACCTTCCATGGTCTCTGTTGGTTTGATCGTGGCGCTACTGTCAGTCGAAGCCATACTCGTTTCACGGCCTCGCTTGTCGGATGGTGGCTCGGCATGCAAAGGTTTATTCTTGCCTACTGGTTCTTGTAGCGATCTTTCCGAGTCGGTAGATGTTTTGGCAAGGTCTTTTTCGTGGTGTTTGTGCCGAGTGAACAGGCTTCGCAGACCTTTCTTCTCCGGCTTCGCAGTTGGAGCTTTGCGTTCCGAGAAATCCCGGTCAGTCATTGCGCGGCTTGGGCTGGAATTTCTCACACTATGTAAAGTGGTCGAAGAGCTTGCCGGTGTCGATGTGAATGTGCTACTCCTCCCGAAAGGCGGATTGGTGGTGGATAATTCTCGACTGGTAGAAGGGCGCACAGGGTGGGAGGTGGGAGGCATGGGGTGACTCCGTGGAGGCTCCTCCTTGCTCCTTGTGTGCCGATGCAAGAGACCGCGAGGGTGGTGATCTTTCGAGGCAGGAGCATTGTTATTCGCCTCTCCAGGCTCCTGCCCAATGGGATTAGACCTCACTGGGGCGTCGCCATAATTGCTGACATCTTCAAAATACTGATATGCCCACGGAGTCACATCGGCTGGGGGAACAGGGGTGTGTGGTCTTGATGGTATATCTATGCTGTCACTTCCCTTTCTAGCTTTGGAGTTGTTCTGTGTAGCCACGTTTGTGGCTGATGCCTCCCTCGAACCACTAGGGTCTTCACCGAAGATGCCTTTGAGACTTTTTGGAAACTTCCCACCCGAACTGATCTTCGATCCAGAACCTTGACTGCTGACTGTGTTTGCACTTGCTACAGAAGGTCTTCTGACATCTTGATCGCACAGCTTATTGTCCGAGAAGTCAGCAGTGTTCGCCCGAGGAGTTCTGTCGGCGTCGCAGGGAGGTGAGGCCTGACCCGGGGTGTCGTGATAAAAAGAGTTGTTCCTAAGAGCCTGTTTGGCTCTCGAGGGGGCAGGGTCGGTGTCCCAAGGAGCTATAGAGTCTAGTGATGAAGGATCTTCCCAGGGAGCTATCGAACCCTTGTTTTGCGGAGGAATTGATGTTGGTGATAACGAGTCGCCAGCTCCCATGACGCCTCCTCGATACTGTGCAGATCTGCTGGATTGCTTCTGGTCTGTAGGCGATACTTCGGGAGAAGAGGAGGGTAAGAACATCGATGTGGAGAACTGAGGCTCCTCATCGATTCTACACTTGCATTAGCATGGGGTTTCGCTCAGATCCGAGACAGGTCTCAAAGCGGGATCTCAAAGGCAAACATCCAGTATCTTTCAACCGGGAACAACACAGCTTTCCCTGGCAAGAACAATGTGCACACCTTACTGGAGCACATTGACGATGTGAAAGTTCGGCAATTGGAACATTTGACTTGGGCCGCGGGTAAGCGACGATCTGCTGGCTATGATGCACACGATGCGTCTCTTGGGACACGAAACATGATGCGACGGTCTCGAGGACGTCACAACAGTATTGGGAGTCGAGAAAGTTCTCACCTGTCATTCCTCCCTATCTTCAACGGACCGCCTCGAAACGAGCCTCCGAAGCCTCCGCGCATGTTTTCATGAGTACCTGAGCTTCCAAACCCATTCTTCGCAGATGGCTCTCTCTTCGTCATACTCCAACCCGGAAGCGTGTCGCAGGGCTGTGAATTTGCCCCTTGTTGGGTTTGGTAGGCAATCGTATGTTGATACTTACACGCTGTTGGATGTAGATCTAGACGGGCGAATTGAGCCCGCTTGGCTTCGATTCAAGGAGGAGGTCGAGGTCGAGGTGGCCGAGGCGCAGCAACGCAAGTTCCCATCACCAGAGCAAGCCGCAGTAGAAGGTTGTTAGGGCTGAAGGAAGCTCGAAAGATCGCCTCGAGAAGAGTCATACATATGGAGAGAAGATGAGATGGCGATGGATGGCAGTGTGAGAAAGGCTGAATCACGTAAGTGACGCCTGGCGATGATCCAATATCGAGGCGAGGTTCTGGCCAGTTGCCTTCGGAGGAGTCTCCACGGCCAACTGCACTCGTCCTAAGGGGCGGAGCTAAATCCCATCCCGCACCTGTAGTGCCCACAACTTGGAGGCGGGGAAGTACATACAGTACCGCGGCAAAAGTTTGGATACTTTTCCACTTTTACACCCAAAATCGCACTTTTGGAACTTACTGATGGGGAGCCAGGCTGCGGGAAGTCGAGGTGGTTATAATTGGTAGTCTCCTAGAACATTCTACCCCAATATGCAGGCCACGGCCAGCTACCATGATAGGGTCATGTAAGTCAAGATATAAGGCCGATACTCAAGGAAAGCCAAGGTGTTTTCCAAAAAAGCCCGCCATCGGCAGACATTGAAGACCAAGCCACCAGGATCATGTGCGATTGTCGCACAGAAATTGTCTTCTCTCCCCCCTAGTTAAGGAGCTGTAATAATGCAGCATATTCACTGGCCAGATCTGAAGGACGCTGGAAACAGAAGCGCCTCCGACTCCATGCTCGAAGACCATGCTTAAAGACAGATATCATGCCAAAGAAGTAGGCCGCCATCCTGTTTCAAGCTCCAGATACCCATAAACCATCCCTGCCCATGCCCTTGTACCAGAGCACATCATTTCCCTCACCACTCATCAAGTTCGCACTCATTTGGATCTTCTCATCCTCTACTTTCGCTCCAGCCCCACCCAACGTACCCATACTGTTACCTGGGCTATTGGCTGTTGATGCGCTCCCTCCTGCGGCTGCAAACATCTTCTTCCACCCACTCGAGTTCGTCCCACTACCTCGCTTGAGCTTGCGCTCCCCTTCAAATGCACCTGCTGCAGCATAGTCGGGGTTGATCATACTTCGCCCGCCGGGCGCCGGCGGGGGAGGTGCCTCATCTGGCGGCGCAAGGATCCTGGACGTTGAAGACGTCCTGCCGACCGCATTGAGTGCTGAGCCATCAGACGAAGTCCGACGGTGTATTGGACTGTGGGGAGGCGTGCACGCAATCATATCGAGGAGTTCGGACTGATTTTGGAGGTCCTTGTTCCTTGGTTTGAGTCGCAGGTCTTTCGGGTTCGTCGAGTTCTTCTGCGGCGAAGCTGGTTTGCGCTGCGATGAGCGCGATGGAGGAGGCTGCTCCTCGGGCTTGGTTTGGCTCGGCTCGATTTCTTTTGCCGCCTCCTGGATGCTTGCTGTTTTGCTATGGCTTGCGGATGGGGCCACACTAGAAGCAATGGACTGATTGGCTAGGGACTCTTCTGGCGTGATAGGAGGCGGTGTTGGTGACGTCTGCTGAGGTGGTAGCTTGTAGAAATCTGAATACTAGCGCATGGTAGCACTTGTCAGAGGTGTGTCAAGCGGTTCACCTTTGGCCTCCTGTGCTGCAATATCTGTAGCAACTGGTATATCCACCTGTGGTCTTACATTTGTGGTGGGCGTCTTTTCACCGTCCTGCTCCGTCGTCAATTCTTGGACTGATGCCTTAGCAGTATCGAGCACGGGTACTTGCGACCCACGCTCACTAAGACTTGCGTCGTAGCAAGTGTCCTTTGATTCGTTCTCTGATATCGCTTGGGTGTTCGAAGCATTAGATGCCAGCTCTGTGAGTGTCGTCGGTGTATGCGTAGTATCGGGAGGCTGGGAAGGAATGGCCCTTGGCGTCCGCTCAGGTTCTGGAGACCCTGACGAAGGCACAGATATCCTGAGCGAAGCTCTAACCGCTGTCGCTCTTTGAGCTGTCGCAAGGATGTCTGGCAAGGCAGTATAAGAACTCGGCTCCTTTGTGGGGATGAGAGCAGGTGGCGTAGGTAAACCTGGATCAGGACTCGAACGTAGTGGTGGAGATACCAATGGCGGCGACAGCTGATTTTCGGTTTGCCGCGTCCCCTCGACACTTGGAGAGGTATTTGCTGGCGCTGGCGAGAGGGTCGCTGCTTCGGCTGGTTCAGATTCAGTTGTTGACTCCGGTGCCTGTAAAGACTGCGGTGATTTACGAAAAATGTTCAGCGACTTTGAAGATGATGGCGCTGAACTATGCTCTTTGTTTTTATGTTTCGAGCCGAGGTGAATGAGGAGCCCGCCTTTCTTCGGCGTCTCATTGGTCACAGCACTCTCATCAGGCACCTCAGCAGGAAGCTCTATGACCGTACCGGGCTGACCGCTGGGGACTCCTCGAGGGAGTCGCTCCTTGAGACCTGGTTGCGCTAACGACCGAATGGCACTTTCAGACCACATGAACTTGGGCGAGCTGAGAGCTGGAGCCGTTGACTTCGGTGTCGCTGGGAACCCCGCGCCTGATGGCTTTGATGGCTTTGATGGTTTTGAGGGCTTTGCGTGACTTACGACGGTTTGTGCGGATCCTCTCCTCGCAACGGACCGGAATTTCTCCGCCACCGATGGTTTTTTTTCGGACTGCGACTGAGCAGCTTTTGTCTTCTCCTGCTGCTCCCGTAGAACGTCCAGACTGCGCCTCCTGAGCTTCTCATGTGCAAGCTTGGCTCGGGAAGCCTGTCGCGCGGGTACCATCAGATCAGGCGCCATAGGCAGAGGCTTGTTTGGTGGCACTTTTGGACTTGGCTGAGGTGATCGGGAAGACGTCAGCCCAGGGGATTTTGCTTGTTGTTTCCGCGTGACAGTACCTCTCTTGCCGCCCGAAACATCTCCGTTCGCAGGACCACTGTAAGGAAGCTGTGGTTGTCACATCAGCGCTCATTCAGCTCCGGTCCCCCTTCTCCACTTACCAAAACCTTTCTGCTTGCTATTCCTGCTCTCCTCTGCATCTCTCCGACGATATTTGCTAACTGTACGAGACTCACAGCGAGCATCTTTCCTTGCAGTTGAAGGTCCGTAAACGCACGAGTCCACCCTTCCACGTTGCCAAGCATGGCAATATAGACCGCGTCCATCTCGGGTGTCCTATCAGGCCAGTTGCTCTTCAGCTCTGTCAGATATTTCCCTAGAGCCCCAGTAGCGTCGATACCCTTCTGGACGTCCTTCAGAGCGTCCTTCATGGCTTCGGAAGTCCTTTCCACAATGTGCTCAATCTTCTCGTTTCCTTCGACAATGGAGCTTCTGAAAGTCCTGTCGTCTAGCATGTGATCAAAAACTTCCACATGCTCTAAAGGTAGTCGTAGATAGCGTAGTCTTTCCTCTACATCGCTTTGAGCAAGATCGAAGTCCTCAGTGGTGCGTTCTAGAAAGCCGTCAATGTCGTCAACGTGTGACTGCAGGATCCTCATGACCTCTTCCTCCGACTTGGCCAGACCTTGAGCGAGAAGATGGAGACCGAACGATAGCTGTGCTGAAAGCTTCCAGAGAGGATGAAACTTCTCCCCGGGTCTCTGCTTCCAACGTCCTGCACATACCCGCTCGTACCTCTCGCCCTGAAGGAGCATCTTGCGTCTTGCGATTGAGTCTGTTTTCTGTTCACCCTCCTCCAAATCATTCAAAGATTCCATCATGGATTCTTCGAATGGACCTTGAAGTTGTGGCACTGGGTGCCGAGGCGGCTGCGCTGAGCCACCATCCTTTTCTAGTGGTGACATCGTGACCTCCGACAATGAACTTGTGGGGGACCCAGCTTCGAGCCGAGCGTAAAGCTGTGTGTTGGTTATTCAAGATTGCAGAATGTTTTGTCGTGGAGATTTGGTTCGCAGACTCCGCCGTGTTAGGACAATCGTCGCAGGAGTTTGTAAATTGCTCGATGCATGATAATACAGTCCTGCAAGCACACGAGGATTGACGAGGCTTGGAGCAGACTAATTTAGAGGGATCTGAACAAGGTTGTCGGGACTTTCTTGCTAAGCCTCACTAACTAGATAATAGCCACAACTACCAGGAATTGCAATGCTTCGAGTCTCGAGGGTAGCAAGAGGTGGTGTACATTCAGAGGGAGGTCCCTTTAGGCGCGAGAGGGTAAGGGAGATATTTTTTGATTCTACCTACATCACGCTGGGACAATTCAGCATGGCTGCAGGATGAGTGTACCAACGAAGCTCGAGTTTCAGGGACCGGGGGAAATCGACGAGGTCTACTGTGGGCGATGCAATTGGCGTGAGGGCACTGGGTGCGTCCTTTGGTGAAACTCTACCAGGGCACAGCAGGACGAGCCGATTGGCTTCAAGCCGGAAAAGTCAGACCTTTTCGAAGACAGAGGCGCGAGCTTGTTGGCCCCAATGTTAGAATAGCAGCGAGCCGATTTTCAACTGGACGGCAACCTTAAATAGTTAAGTCATCCTTGCCACCAGCGTTGGGTCTATCAGTGCTGATTGATTCAGTGGTGACAGTCCTCTTGAGTCACAACATGGCTTAGGTTTACTCGTCAATATGGGATTAACAAGAGAAAGCGTCCAGTCCTTGAGACAAAGCACAGGCAAGCTTCAGATGTCAATATGCAGGGAAAGCTTGCGGAATGCCATTGCAAATCTCTCCAGAAGCACATGAAACACAGTAATAGGCTGCACGGCTGGGATGTGCAGCTTAACTAACCAGTGAAATCAATCATCCTAATAGCTAATCGTCACTCGTAGTGTAGCCTGACTACTCAATTACGTAGTAACCTGACTCAGGCCCAAATTCTCCCGTCTCTTGCCAGGCCATCTAGATTTATCGGCCGGTTCCGAACATAGACAATGCGTCTTGAAGTTGAAGACCTTGCAAGCTTGTACAAGTTCCCCACGGGCCACGAGGCTGAAGGAGCAAGCACACTATCAAGTAACCACTCCATCTATTTTCGGAAGCCTCATGTATACTACTGTCCCTTCTCGAGACAGCCATGGCAGATCTATATCCTCTTCCCTCTGAAGATCATTTGCGGTCATTGTATGTAGGACGATCACTTGATGGGATCCCAACCCCAGCAGCGATCATCGATCAGGCGAAAGCTCGTCATAATTGCCATCTACTCCTTGATGCTGTCAGTCGCTATTCCTGTTATTGTAGTACGTGGCGCCGGTGAGGCATTTTGTTGACCAATGCTAGATTAAAGCTGCGGGTGTTAGCTTTCGAGCTCATGTGAAGACGCACAAGACTACTCAACTGACTCGTCTCCAAGTGGGAGCGGATTGCAAAGATGTCAGACTAGTGGTCTCTACGCTGATGGAGGCAGAACAGCTGGTGCCGCTTTTGCTCGAGTACAAGAGCCGAGGAGCGGCTGTCAATGTGCTTTATGGTGTGCCATTAGGACCGTCACAGGCGGAACGATTCGGTGCGGTGGGTAAGACGATGGGAGAGGGTAGCATTGCTGCCATGGTCGACGATATTGGCCAACTTCCTGCTTTGACAGTTATCAAGCACTTTGCCGGATTTGCACCCGCAGTTTTTGTGAAGATCGACACTGGCTATCACAGGGCAGGTCGTGCACCTGGGTCGTACACTTTGAACACGCTGCTAGAGCAGATTGATGTAGGCGAAGATGCGGGCAATTGTGTTTTCAAAGGATACTATAGTCATGCCAGCGATAGCTATGGAAACAACACCCCACAAGAAGCAATAACTCGGTTAATGGAAGAGATAGAACTGTGTGGAGTTGCAGGTAGGAGCCTATCTTTATCCCGCAAGTATGGCAGAAGACCTGTGATATCGGTCGGAGCTTCACCAACTGCGGTATCTGTTCAAAACATTGAAACTGGATCCGTAGATGTCGAAATTGCAGGCAAATGGAAGGAACTTCTCAAAAACGAGCAATGTCATTTCGAGGTGGAAATCCATAGTGGTGTCTACCCACTGCTAGACATGCAACAAATTGCCACCAATGCAAGACCGTTTCAAGGCGACCCTCATGATTCAATCGCTTTGACGGTCCTGGCTGAAGTTCGCAGTCTGTACTCGGAACGTAAGCCACAGGAGGCTCTCATGGCGGCTGGTACCCTCGTCTTGGGAAGAGAGCCATGCAAATCATACAGTGGTTGGGGTGTTCTGACACCGGACGGACCCGAGGAAGATCAAGTGACAAATGGCAGAATTGTGGTCAGTCGAATTAGCCAGGAGCATGGGATTCTGTCATTCGAGAATGGTGGCCTCGATCGCGCATTGCCTCTTTGGGTGGGGCAGAATGTCAGGATTTGGCCAAATCATGCTTGCATTGCTGGTGCTGGTTTTAATTGGTACTTCATAGTTGACTCGAGCTCAGAGTCCCCAAATCGTGTCATTGACATCTGGGTTCGTTGGCGCGGATGGTAAGAAGATCGTGGCGATGTAGCACAGTGGCTTTACTTCTGTACGAAAATTCTCATTCTGGTAAGGTGGTGAAGTTAAAACGTTTAAACTTCGTTCAGAAGTGGATCAAAGAATGTTGTGAGCATTGAAAGGTCGGAGAAATCCCTAAAAGTAGAATCTAGAGTCTGAGACGGGTCAAATTCATCAGCCGCTCTACCTGTAGCACCGGCATTGTGAGAGGAAATTTTGTCTTGCAGTGGCTCGTCCATTGTAAGAGAATCCTCTGGGATGACTTTCTAGGACATAGGACTCTGCCACCAAAGATAACAATTGCCAGGACAAGAAAGTTGGAGGTCCGTACTCGCTCAAAGTAGGCAAGAAACGACCCGTGGGAGACACAGGTTTCAACAAGTGGCTTCTGCGTCGCCGAAGGAAGGACGGTAATAGCTCCTATATCCTCTAGAAAACGCAACCAATGTGGATATCGAGATGCAGTTGTCGCTCTACATCTCTACATCGCGTGCTCGACGTACTGTCTCTAACATCACTAGTGCTTGAGGGCTCTGACGTGCAATGCCCTTCAGACGGTCACTTAGGCCTGTTAGGACGCTTTCCGGATTGAGATCTGAAAAGCTTCTTTGGCCTCGAATGGGGATCAAGCTCATGCTGATCGTGAGCTGTTTGGGGTGGCTGAACGATGCATTGAGCAAAAGCGTGGCACCACTTCCTCTTATCTTGGAGTGGATTGTTGGAAGTGCTCACGGCAAGATCATCAAGCTCAAGGCATGTGACCAATCAACCACCCCGGTCATCCTCCTGCTAGCGAAGCGCATCGAGGCGTAGGAACGCAGTTCCAATACTGAGCAGGGTTTAGGGAGACGGTGGGAGGTTTCGATGCCGCAATCAATGTTGAGAATATTCCGACAGCATTAGGGTTAATACTTTTCCGTTAATCATACTGTGCATGGCGAAAGCCTTGCGAATCCTTAGCGTAGTATCTGGATTTGCTGGCGCGGCGTTCTCAAATAGAAACAGCTGGTCGGGACTCAATAAATAGATTCATTAGAGGTACTCTATGTCAAAATCATACCGAGCTTCGTCTGATGTGATATAGAAATATAGTAGTTGGTATAGATATAAATCGATAGAGTTAAATCTTAACATAGTAAGTTTTACTTTTCTTGAAAGAGTCTCATATGTTCAAAATCTATATCGAAAGAATCAGAAAAAGCTCAGCATCATTTTGACATAGAGCTTATTTAATCTCAATACGTAGAAGGCGTGCACGCCAGCAACTCTGCACGAGCTCCACATTTTCGCAAGACTTTCGCAATGCATAGTATTCTCCTACGTAAGCGGCCTATGATCTTTGGTTGGAGCTGGTAGAAGACCATCAAGCATTGTAAGAACGGCCATTCCCCATTTCCCCGTTCCATATACTCCTTATGCCAGAGAAAGAATTGCAAAACCAAAGACTTATCTGAATGTGCCCATTCCTATGTTATGGAAATTGTTCTGCATTAGTTAATGTATATTTTAGGTGTACTGTGGCTCGCTGATCTCACTTTCCCAGCGAATACAGACACAAAAGCAGACACCCGAGTATTACGGATAAAGACCACCTCCTCCTGAAGCAGCCCTTTCAAAGTGAAACCTTACTTGTCGCGGCGGCCTCGGCAAGCGAAAATGGTACATATCGCACAAAACATGACTGATAATGCTGACACACGTATGATGGCTGAAGGACAGGCACTGTCTTGCTTCACAACAACCAAAAAGCGAGCGCACCCATGACACCGAGCAAAGCGGTGCCCCACCTCACATCCGCAGCAATAGCCGCGCCATTCGTAGCCGACGGCTCAGCTCCTGAGCTCGTGTTGGTGGCTGCTTCAGCATTGCTCGCGTACCCACAAAGTCCTGAACCTTCCATCTGTGCTGTTGGGAAGAAGGCTTTCGGTTCTCCAGCTCCCATCAGGGCGGTGACATTTCCTGCTTCATTCGCATTCGACCTGGTACAACTGAACACCTCGATGACTTCGGTTCCTATCTCATAAGCGCTCGGACCTACACTTAACTCATATTCGCCGCCTCTTTCACCTTGGTTGGAAAAGACGGCGACAATCTGCACACCATCAGGACCTTTACGAGTAGCCATGGTAGATGGATCGAGGAAGAGCTCGATTGAGTGGTTGGAAACGTAGCGTGAATCGATACTGATTGCGTGGTTACGCAGAGCGTTGAGTGTGGCGGTAAGATTATAAAGAGGGGCGGACGTGTCGTATGGAGTCCCGCTCTCCGACCCAGACCACAGGGGAGCACGGTTATAAGGAGAGTAATTGCCGGGCATGTGTTGTTCTTGGCCTTGGTACACTGGAGGAGAAAATGTCAGCATGGAGGAACAGAATTAGCGATTGGGAACATACTGGTTGGGATACCATCAGCGAGGATGGTGAATGCGATAGCATTCTTAGCTAGAGCTAGGTCTGGCACGAGCGAGGCGAAACGAGGCAGGTCGTGGTTTTCGGCGAAAGTGCCCAGCACTGAGGTGTCTGTGCAGCCATCGTTGACATCGGAAATCATTTCTGAAAGTCCTTCCATATCGCCAGCGGTGAAGGCTTGAATCAGAGGAAAATAAACGGGGAAATTTGGTAAGCCGGAAATCAAGTTATCCCTTTGATATTTGCAGACGTTGTCGACGACACCACTGAAGATCTCGCCAAAGGTGAAGACACCTGCTGCTTCAACGAATGGTGGAAGATATTCATTATTGACGTGCTTAGCTGCGTCGATGCGAAGGCCGTCAATTGAATAATTCGCGACAAGACCCGTGATCCAGGTACCGATCATGTCTGTGACTTCCTGGGATTCTGTGTCCAGGTCAGGAAGCGCCACATTAGTGACACCCAGCCAGCATTGTTGAGCGATTTCGTCGTTATCATAATCCGTGATATTGCAGTATTCGTGATAGTACCTCTCATCATTGAAGGGCTGAAGCTGGGAGTAGTCAATTGTCTGGTCGGGCATTGATCCATCGATTGCTTGAGCCATATTGTTGATAACCACGTCGACCATCAAGTACATGTCTCGGTCGTGCAGCGCTTGCGAAAGGTGGCTTAGATCGCCAGCAGTCCCAAAGTTCTCGTTTATGCCGTACATGTTGTTTGACCAGTAACCATGGTATGCCTCCCCATAGCCGGTATCTTCCCTGATATTCTCCACGACTGGAGAGATCTGGACAGCGGTGAAACCCATTCCTTGGATATAATCAAGCTTGTTGATCAAGCCAGTCCATGTACCTCCGCAGTAACCGTCTATGTCGGTACATTCCTCTGATGAGCCGTCGCTTCTGGCAAAGCGATCAATCATGACCTGGTAGATGGATCGACTGGCCCACTCTGCCGCTCCGGGTCCGGCAGATGCAAGACCACCCAAGGAGGCAGCTGCCGCCAGGATCACAGTAAATCTGCCCATTTTGTCGTTTCAGAAGCCCTCAAGATGTTGGGGGTCAAAAGCTAATGCCGCGGCAAAGAGAATCGGTCGCGTATAGGTGTATACAATAGGCGCGTCACAAACGAGAGATGTGGACGCGTACAGGAAGTGAAAGGTAAAGTATGGCAAGTTGAACGAGTGATGAAAGGATGACAGAAGGACTTCAATGCATGCTTTCGAGCAGAATAAATCAACGAGCGTACTGCAGAAGCAGACTGATGATAAAAGCACGTAGAGAGATTTGAGATAGCAAAAAGATTGGCGCAAGAAGAACCCACATGATACATATGGCATCCGAGACAACTGAGCTGCAGTTTATTGCTGGAGCTAGCCAGGATGATCGGCGCGCCGCACCCACAACATGCCCTGGCTACCCCTCTCTATCTCATTCATTTCCAGTCGACTTCTTTCTGGCACGATCTCTTTAGCATGCCGATTCGCCTAGCCGAGGTGTTCCATAGTGCTATTATATCTGGCCAAAGTAATTTTGGTGGGGCACTACTACGGGTACAGGCCTAATTTTTGTACCCCCCCCTGCTGAAAAGGTTAGTATCCGTACAAAACATACTACATACAATTAGGTATAGTCGTCCGCATTATGGCCTAAATAAGATTAGTCTCTAAAATCAAGTTTTTACATTCTATTAACACCTCTAACTGCTTGACATCTTGTCTGTATCTACTGAAGCAGCTTTTGTAAGATATTTAGAAGACATAATATACCATGAAGCAGTGCTTATAGCTCATCTTATCATCAAGCTCATTAGTATCTATGCAGAATTAGTAGAATGCGTACAGAGTGAGATGAGTAGCATTTGCAGGATGAGCAAAATTCGTGCAAAATAGTGACGCAATGCTGACAGGGATGCTGGCAGGTGGGTTGTGTAAAAAACATGTTTGTAAGATATTTTGACCAGGGGGGGGTACAAAAATTAGGCCTGTACCCGTAGTAGAAACTTTCGTTTTCGCTAGCAATGCTGCCTTTTTGACATGTCTGCACATGACTTTTTTTCCATAAGTTTTATGACTTATTGATCTATAAGTGTCCAATGATCAGTACTAATGATAGGTAGGTTCCTCACCACTTGCACATTGTTTTAGTGGTTATTCAGTGGTCATATCACGTTGGAGTAACAGATTTTTTAACGGTACAGATGAATTTGTCTCGGCGCCCCACCCACATTACTTTCGTCAGATACCACACTATAGTAGTCTCTCTCAAAGTTGTCCACACACCAGCTGGCTAGCCCCTGAGGGTCACAGCTGTTGCGGCAGCAGTAAAGTAGCGTTGTGTAACCGAGGCCCAGTCTACTTATTGATGATTGGTGAGTCGCCTGAGCTGCTCAAGCACTAGTAGTTAATTGCTCCTTGGCTGCTTTCTCAATGCAACTGGGAAAGGTTGGTGAAATTTCTCAATAATCTATGGACTGCTCGGGACATAAAGGTGTCACAAGAATGATTCATACGTCCATGCAATGCCCGGGTGCGGAGATTATCTCTTTGAGGGTGCTGGTGGGTGTGGCATGCATCATCCACTAAGAAAAGGTAGACAACGATAGCCAGGATATATTTAAGGGTGAAGAGGAGGGAAAGCGTCTCTACTTGTGGTCGATGTTACTCCTCCCTTACTTGTAGCCGGGAATTGGCTGGGTGAAACAATCCTCTCTAACAGCTGTGAGCAGACAGAGGAACTCCAATTCGAATTGATTCCGCAAGACGGTGCACCAATGGCTAGCAAGGAAGGTAATTACAGCTCTTGACTGGACCTCAATTCGAGATGCTCCTTGGTAGCATAAACTTTTACCTACGAACCCATGACTAGCCGCCGCTCTCACAACTCATCATGAGCTTCCTTTCCACCATCATCGGTGTCCGAAACCACAGTCTTAACCGCCTCTGCTGCCTCGCTGGCAACACTCTTCACGCTCTCAGCAGCACCGCTCTTGACGCTTTCGGCAGCATCACTGACAGTGGCTGCAGGTGCTTGCTTGCCCATCGTCTCTTCAGCATCTGTCATATCAGCATCATCGGTATCGTTCGCCACATAGGCGTCGACCTTGTATTTGCCATTCTCTTTCACAAAGTTGGCAAGATCCTCCACCGTGCGCGAACCCTGATAGTCAATCGGCGAGTCTTTAGAGCCGGCTGCAAAGAGCTTAATGGTGGGAAAGCCAGCGATCTCCTCTGGAACGTCGTTGGCGGTGGCATCAACCTTGGCGATTGTGACCTTTTCATTAAAGTCAGGTTTAGAGGTGTAGAGCTGAGCAAGTTCATCGTACTTGGGCGCAAGACTGCGAATCTGTTTAGCAAGGCCAGGGACATGCCTAGGATATGAGAACATACGCTTTGCAATGACCACACCAAGGCGCATAAAATTCAACCAAGACATCCTTCTCGTTGTTAAGCACGACGTCGTTGTAGTTGTGTGCCACGACCACAGTGACAGGACCTTCTTGCTTCTCCGGAATGGGCTCAGACTTGACACTGGGCTCGATCTTCCCGTCGAGATAGTCAGCCACAAACTTGCCAATATCTTTCTCGGTGATCTTCTTGCTCTGATCGAACGGGAATTTCTGGTTCTTGACGGTTTCTTGAATCGCAAATGCCGGCCACGTGCCAACCTCCAGGTTGAGATTTCCAGCGTGGGCGCCGAAAGCTTTCGCATCAATAGTAGCGAAGCTGATTTTGCCCTTGTACTTCTCCGCGAGAGGCTTTACTACTGCGGCGAGCTCGGCTCTCTCTTCGGGGGTCTCTGAGAAAATGAAGGCCAGAGGCAGACCGGTCTGGGCAAATCTGTTAGTCTTCATCTCGAGGGATCTCCTAAGCCAAACTTACAGCCATGTATCCGGCGTATGTTTCTGGTCCGATTTCGCCTACAAGTGGGACGCTTGCCGTCTTCACGAAGTCCTCAATTGCTTCTGTAGTGAATTTCTTGTCAAATGTGGCCACGCCTTCATCGAAATCCTTGTACATGACAAGTCCTGGCTGTTTGACACCAGCTGCCTCCGCTAGTGCCGCATCGCTGGTGGCACCAAATAGTAAATCGTCACGCATCGAATCGGCGACCTTGGAGAACGTTTCGTTTGATGTCTTATCATCGGAGGCAAAGTAAGCAACGAGGACAACCTTATCTTGCGTCTTGAATTCCTCCAGCGTGTCGCTAGTGAGCGTTGAAACAGCTGGTAGAGCTTGTTTGGTCATGTACGAGATAATACTAGAGGAAGTCAACGTCAAAGTAAATGTGAGACACCTGCTAAGATAACCTTACGCTGGTGCTTTGCGAGGTCCTGAGTATGCCTTGACATTATCAAGTCCACGGAAGACCTTGACCGTAGGATAGCCATCCACGCCGAATTCCTTGCAAAGATCTGCCTCCTCGGTGCAGTCAACCTTTGCCAGTGGTATGTTCTTCTCCTTCAATGTCGTAGCAGCCTCCTCATACTCCGGGGCAAGAGCCTTGCAGTGCCCGCACCACGGAGCGAAGAACTCTGCGAGAACAAGATCATTGCTGTTGACGAAATCCTTGAAAGTGTCGGTCTTTAGGTCGTGGACATCGCTGGATAGCACGCCCGATGCAGCTAAGAGGGAGAGAAGAGTGGCTTCCCTGAAGCTGCGCATCTTGAAGGGTTGTTAAATGGAAACAGAAAAGATGTAACGCCGGCTTCTCTTATCAGAGGGGGGAATTGTGAGGAAGAAAAATATGTTTATCGAAGCTCTTGAATAGATTTGCGTGAGGCGCTCGAGTGCAAAGTGGTAAAGGTGTCTTCAAGCCAAGAATAGCTACACACCCACTACTAGTACTATACTACACGGCCTAGAGCGTCCTCCAGTCCAAGGCCATCACTAATATTAGATCCGAGGTTTTGGATCTAACATAGATTAGGCGATATGTGCACACAAATAGCACCGATCAGGCATTAACTATTGGAAGGTTTTACAGGATGATTCAATAACCTGAACAGTTCATCTCTGTGTATCTATACAGCCGATTGAGACTCAGGCGGCCCGTTCAGAGCAAGCGAGACACTACCCAAGAGAAAGATGAAGCTGCACCCAACCAGCGCCGCCGCTTGGAAACTCGCTTCCGGTATCATGCACCGAGAGCAATAAAAACATGACCCTCGGACGTTGAGGGCATCGAGAGTAGAGACACGGACTCTCTGTATAATGGATTTCTCATAGTATGTAGCTGGTGGCAGCACATACTTTTCTAGCCCCATGGCGGTGTTCTCTTACTCTCTCTTCTCTGCTTCTAATTCTGCCTGAGCCATCTCTTGAAGTGCGTCGATAGCATCCGTGTCATCCTCTTCAGGGCTTTGACCATTATTCTCACCCGCGACCACTGGGTCCGTTGCAGCACTCTCCTGCTTCTCCTCTGCAAGTTGTGTCGATGGGTCGGCTTCCCCTGCACCCTTCGCTGGATCGGCAGTAACCCGTACAGGACCTTCCACATTGGACGCAGCAGTCGGCTTCGGCTGGTCCAGATTCCAATCAATGACACCCTCATCGCCATATCTCTCCTTCAGCCATTCGTTGGTTTTCTTAAAGTGTCCACAGGTCAGAAACCCTTTATACGCACTCAACGGGCTCGGATGTGGGCTCTGCAATACCAGATGCTTTCCAGTCGTCCCCAAGCCTTTACACCTCAATTGTGCTGGGTATCCCCATGCTAAAAATACCACTCCCCTCGTCCGAGTCTTTGCTACAGTATCGATCACTTTCTGAGTGAAGCGCTCCCATCCTTTGTCCTTGTGACTGGCTGGTTCATGAGCACGGACCGTGAGACAGGTGTTGAGCATCAGAACCCCTTGTTCAGCCCATGGGGTGAGGAGTCCCAGTTTGCGAGGTGGAGGCGTGAACGAGGGATAGTCGTTAGCTAGCGCAAGATATATATTCTTGAGGGAAGGAGGGGCCTCGGTAGGAGGTCGGACGGAGAAGCAGAGTCCATGTGCTTGATTGTGATTGTGGTAGGGATCTTGACCAAGGATCACCGCGCGGACTGACGGCAGAGGTGTGTATCGGGACCTTGCGGTGAATCTTCGTAAGCAAAAATGACAGAAAACGGTTGAACAGGTTCAAAGTTTACCAGGAATAGATTTCTTCCAAGGGTGGGAACACCTTCTTGCCTGACTCGATTTCGCTTTTGAGGAAGCGCTTGAGATTAAGAAAACTTGGAGTTAATATCTCATCTTTCAGATGTGCCAGCCAACTCTCATCCAGTGTATCGATCTCGAGCTTCAGTAAAGTTCTTTGCTCAGGAGTAAGCTTTGCAACCCATTTCGCTTTATCGAACCTAGGAGTCACTAACGATATCAAAGAGGACCCGTTAGCAACACTTCCGGCAGGCTTGGAGGATTTCGTACCCGACTTTGGGCCGCCGAAAAAAGAAGTAATGCTCGCGTTGGTCTTTGGCTTTTTGGGTTCTGCAGGCGATGAGGAAGGAAGGTCGTTTGCTTTGCGCTTCAGAGGTCCATCAATTGGGGAAGACATGATAAATTTGGATTGGGAAGTTTGGGGCTGTCTAAAGTACAAAATTGGCCGACAAGATGGAATTGATTGCGAGGTCAGCTTAGGGAGATTGTGTGATTGAAAAATGCGCATGCATGAAAGTCTACAGCAATTGGGCTTGGTGACCAAACCTATCTCCCAAGTCGCGCTTTTTGGAATGTGATTTGGTCAACCGCGTTCTAAATTGCCAAGCAGAGAAAAATCTGCCCCAAGCTCACCTCTGGTCGGGCCCTACTCGAGTACTACTAACTATGTAGAAGTAGGGTGATGCCGCTCTTGCTCACCCCGGTCTCACAGGAGACTCAGGTGTGTCTCACCTTCTTGGAGGACGTGCCGCTCACCAGAAAAGGGCTAACTTACACTGACAACATGAAAGGCTAGTGGATGACAACAGCTGACAAATGTCACGTGAAATGCTAATGCAGGAAAGGAAGGTCTTGGCACTCCGGTGCTTCAATGATGCACTGGGATCAGAGCAACAGCGCAATAAAGCTTCCTATTCCGGATAGCAACCTCATGTGTATATTCCCCAGCTAGATCCCCGGATACCTGTCTCTTTTATTATTCTTTTTTACAAGTTATAGTACAAATATAAGGAAAGACTATACTTCATACAATAGATTAATGTAAGATAATGAATTACCGAGATTTTTGGTAAATACATCTGATATGTAGACACTCTATCCGATTTAGGTGCGGGACACAGTCATTAATTAGCCCCTCTGAGCATATTATCATGTGACTTGACACACTAAACCCTCTGAGCTAGTAGCTGAGACATGGGTTTAGCAGGGTTCAGAGTCCTCAAAGTCGAAGGCTGTGGGGGGAGCTTCAGCACTCGCCGCAGGATTTCAACACTGGCCAAAAGTCGCCACCGTCAAAGGAAAGAACACTTATCGAGATCAGATACCTGGCGAGTCTGATCCTTCGCCTGCACGACTTCTCAGACGCCAGAGAGTCGAAGTGCTACACGCAATGAAGATCAGTCCGCCGCTTATGGCCGACGGGGGCTCCAACAACGAGGATTTAGTCAGAAGAATGGTAGCTATGGGCTTCGAGCACCATCAAGTCCATCAAGCTTGTGAAGCGGCCTTCTTCCACCCCGAGCGATCATTCTAATACCTTTGCGAGGGAATCCCAGCAGATGTTCGAGCCAAGCTGAGTCCATCTCCTGCCACGCCCGAGAATCCGAAGCCCTCTTCAGGCTCATCTAAGACACTAGACGCCCTTAGCGCTACTTCTTCATCAATTCTGCCAGCCAGGGTGACCAAGAATAATCAAACCTTTAAAGACCGCATCCTGAATGATGTGCAACGCAGCTACTCGAAATTCGGTGATGACAGCTCTACTTTGGGCTATCCCTTCCCTACAAAGCTGTCAGACAACCATGCAGACAACAAGACTGATGAACCGCTGAGCCCTGAAATTCTGGGATGATCGATGCAACAGGGCAGGACGGCCTTTCTCAGCCGAATGTCCACTCGTCCAAAGGCAAGGAGACCACTGCCAATCCACCAAATCAAAGTGATCTGCCTCATGTGCAGTCCGAGCTCGAGATGGAAAAGATACTCCCACTCAAGGATGGTGATCAAGAAGTTCATTTATTGGATACAGACTTTGATCGAATCTCAAGTCTCCTTTGTCAGGCTAATCGAGAAGAATGGAGCTTCCGACCACGCACCTATGCAGTTCTCAGGATGATCAATGCTGTTGATTTAATGGACGACTTTATGCAGTTAAATTGCTTGGATATCGCTTTACCGTATTCTGGGAGCAATCTTCCCCGGAGCCTCTCACCAGAGCGGAGATATCGATTCCGCAGAATGCAAGGTTCAGTCTTGACCAAAGCAGCAAGAATCGAAGGTCGATCAACAACTCACGCAAACTTTGCGGACAATGCAGACAATCACCTTGAGCCTCTCAATAAGCTTGGTGATGGCGGATCCGGAACTGTCGATCGTGTACGGAGTAAGCTCTCTCGTAAGATATACGTGCGAAAACGACTTGACCGCCAGAAGACCTTTGAAGAGAGTACGAAGTCTTTGAACTTCTTCAAACGTGAGGTAGATGCTTTGAAGCGATTGAAGCATCGCCACCTTGTTCGTTACATCGGATCGTATACAGATCCACAATTTGTTGGTATCATCATGGAGCCCGTCGCTGATTCGGATCTGCGGGTTTTCTTGAACCAAAAATCATTTGATCCAGCAGAATATCATTGCATTCGAGAAGCATTTGGGTGTCTTTGTACAGCTTTCATGTATTTGCAAGAGAAAAAGATCCGTCATAAGGATATTAAGCCGGAAAACATACTTGTCAGACAACGGAAAGTTTACATCACAGGCTTTGGCATCGCCAGGGACTGGCTAGCACAAGTGAAAAGTACGACAACCGGTGAGATTGGGCCTATTTCTATGGCCTATGCTGCACCTGAAGTAGTTGCAAAGGAGCCAAGGAGCACATCTGCAGATATCTGGTCTTTGGGCTGTGTATACCTTGACATGATTGTAAGTCACTGAAAGAAAAACCCCTCCCCCCTGGCGGATTTCACTTTTGACAATTTCCAGACTGTGTTGAAAGGCGAGACTTCAACATCTAAGCTCACTTACTTCCGAGGTCATGGCTCATCTGGTGAATATCCCAGGAACAACATGGAAGCTTTCAGGGACTGGGTGAAGAAGCTTGAGTCAACAGGAGACAATGCACCTCTTGACTGGATTAAAAACATGATCCGAGAAAAACGAGCCAGTAGACTCACTCCTCAACAACTAATGTCCCAAATTCTTGAATGTGACGAAGAAAAAGACTTCTACGGGCTTTGCTGCCGTGGACAAGATGAGGCTGATTTACCTGCCGGGATAGGCGAAACCGAGTCCGAGGATTGCTCAAGTAGCGAAGGTTCGTCTGCATCTTTTACTTGCAGTTCATGGCCTGCTGACACTTCCTTGAGGCAGATTTGTCCGATCATAAGGCGTCGAAGAAAGGCCCGGATCCGGCCGTTGTAGAGAAGCACCTCTGCATCGCAGCCCGTGCCCAGGATTTGAAGGCCTTGAAAAGATGGCTTCGCAGGGCTGCTCGCATGCAAAAGCGCTATTTGGATACTCGCGCTATACGTCAGGCAGCCGCGAATGGAAATGAGGAGCTTGTGGACATTTTGATTCAATTTGGCTGCAACCTGGAGCTCAAGTCCAACGGCAGAACTCCGTTATGTACAGCAGTGCGGAACTCTCGTGAGGGCACCACCGAGCTGTTTGCGAAAACCAGGATCGCCCTAGATGCGCAAGATTCTGCAAAATCAAACACTGCCCTTCATCTCGCGATCCGGAAAGGCTTTCGTGCTGGAATGAGAATACTCCTGGAGGCTGGTGCTTCTACAGATATCCGCAATGAGATTGGAGATACACCTTTGCACTTGGCTTCTTTATGCGGAGACTTACCGGCTGTGGAGATGCTACTTAAGCATGGTGCAAAAATATCGTTGAAAGACAAACATGACCGCACTGCATTGCATGTGGCTGCAGGGGATGGACATTCAAAGGTGGTGAAGATACTTCTCAAACATGGTGCAATAACATCGCTTAAAGATGAGCAGGGGTGCAGCGCATTACATAGAGCTGCAAAGTATGGACATACTCAGGTCGTCCTCGTACTCCTTAACCACGGAGCTGATATTGACGATTATGATGGTTCTGACTGGGTTCGAACGCCACTTTTGAATGCAGTGGTATTTAAGCGACCAGAAACCGTGCGACTTTTACTTAAGCAGGGGGGCCAACAAAAACCTTCCGACAAATGGCACTGACAGACAAAAATTGACTCCTATATACTGCGCCATTACACACGACTTGCGGGAAATTGTGGCAATTCTGCTCAGCTTCAAGCCAGACCTGGAGACCCGAGACCAACGCAACGATACCCCATTGCTCATGGCGATCCGGCGAGGGAAAATCGACTTTATACAACCACTCCGTACAGTTCTGGCCTTAGTCTTTCAATTATGGAGTTCAAGGACTTCCATATGGTAAAAATTCTCATCGATAATAAAGTAGACCTAGAGATTCGAATTCGAAACAATGTCCAAGTAATAATGCTACATGTGGCAGCGCGTTCTGAGAACTTGCAAGTTATTGAATTCTTGGCAGAGAACGGTAGTAATGTCGATGCAAGAGATAGGGCGGGAACGACTCCACTCATGCTATGTGCAAGATTTGGCCAAGCTGCCAGTATGGAGATACTGATGAAAAAGGGAGCGTCAACCAAGATCCAGGATCAAACGGGAGACACAGCTCTTCACTACGCTACATTTGCCGGCTCTATGGAGAATGCCACGTTCCTTCTGCAATCCGGAGCAGACCCAATGATCTACAACAACAATGGTCTCGTCCCAGGAGCCGTTGCGAATAGGCGGGGCCACAAGGGGGTCAGAGATTTACTCATTAAGGCTGAAGGTGCTGGAAGGGTGCCTGCCGCTTGAAAATCTACAGGACTTTTACCGAGTCGTGGGTAGGGGCCGGGCGGTCTTTCCTATGGACAATAAGCCAGGATCGGCCTTTGCTGACCTGAGACTTGCGACATCGCCAGGCACTTTCAAGGCCTTGACGTTTTTCATCCTTGTTGCTAGGGTATACTGCCTTGCAGGGCCTTTCTTGCTAACTGAGTTCCAGACAATCCAAGTTCCTGGTAGAAGCTTTGACATCGCCGTAGTCCTCTTTCTAGCACTACTACCACTTAATATGTCGAGCCCTGTGTGCACTCTGATTGGCCGAATTCCATCGGCCATTCCATTTTGTAATTCCCGAGGTGAAATCTTCTACTATCTATCTGTACGAATTGCCTTGAGTTCTCTACCTTCCAGAACTGCCTATGTGTAACGTGTGACAAAATGGAAATTGCTAGCACGGCGCTAGGAGGAGTATCTCTGGCTGTTCAGCTCTCTCTTTGCTGTTTAAAAGGTAACGACCTCAGAGTGGTCGGTCTCGGAGTTGGCGCCATTAGTACTGACAGTGAACGCGATTCCGTAGGCTATGAAGTGATAAAATCAGCCTTGGAAGCGTCAAAGGATTCTTGCACTCTCTCTAATCAATTTGAGATAGAGCAGTTACGTTTGCAAAACTTTGTCAAAGCTGCTGGACTTGCGGGTGGAGAAGATGAGAACCGTGGAAGTCAGACCGTAGACGGAGCAGGCGGGAATCGTGGAAGTCAGACACTTCGGGCTAACACGATGCTTCTTTTGAATATCCTGTCTGAGATCAATCTGGCGCTGGAAATGTTTGCACGCAATGAACCACATCAAAAGGGTCTGCCAAATGAATATGTGCATCCTACCATTTCCACCAATGTCAGCGAAGGCTATAGCACTCTTCTCAATATGATCTCCACAGTCCTGAGAAACACCCGGGTCCTTAGGGGTGATTCGTAGCTTCACATGGAGCGCCTTCCGGAAGAGTGAGTCTGAGAAGATACTACAACGGCTCGTTCGACTCAATGATTTGTTGCATGACCTTTTAGAGAGCCATCAACTGCGTATCCTGCAAGAACAGCAGCAGCAGCATAATATGGAGCTTGTTCAAACACGAAACACGGTGGCTGATTTACAAAAGCTGGTAGAAGCAGCTCACGCCTCCAAAAATGCTCACAGTCGGTCTATGAAATGGCAGCAAACTGTGGATGCAGAACTCGAGGACCTCGCTTCTTTCAAAGCTCTGTATACCTCCTTGCTGGCGGACAACACAGTGCAAGCGCGCGAGATTAAGATAGAACCCTCTCGGATACAAATTCAATCACAAAGAGATGTGAAGCAAGACCACCCGCGGGCAATCTACACACCTGATGGTGATAGTGAACAGCAAGTGTGGATCAACTGGGAAGACAGGGATATTCCAGGTAACGATCCTGCACCAAAGTCGCTCTCATCTCTAGAAGAACTCACCATTCTTTTCATGGCCCCGAAGCCAGACGAGTTCTGCACTCCGACTTGTCAAGGGTACAGTATCTTGCAACAAGCGGAACTACCACCCCGTCCCGCTCTGATCTTCAAGAACCCTCCCGGCTTTGATCCACAGGTCCAGCCCGTGTCTCTCTTTCACGCGTTTACAACCCACCCGAAACCATCTCTGGTCCATCGGGTCGCTCTGGCCCATAAGCTTGCCCAGAGCCTACTTTATCTCCATGCCGTCAACTGGCTCCACAAAGCTCTGCGCAGCTCTAACATTCTCTTCTGCCCCTCATCCGACGCCGCAGCTCTAGATGTCTGCGCCCCATACATCACCGGCTTCGACAACTCTCGCCGCTCACGCTTCAACGAGGCCACGAGCGAGGCGCCGCGCGTGGGCCGTATGGAGGTCTACCGGCACCCGGAGACCCAGCTTGAGGGCCCTATGCTGCCATATCGCAAAACCTTCGACATCTACAGCCTCGGCCTTGTCATGGCCGAGATCGCGCTGTGGCGGCCCCTCGTCGGGCGGCATCCGGGAGCGGTGGCTCATGTCGGAGCCTGGGCTGCTCGGATCGCTCCAGGCGGAGGTCGGCGAGAGGTATGCCGCGGCCGTGGAGACATGCCTAAAAGGGCGGGACGCATTTTGTGTCGAGCGGAGAGACCTGGAGACAAGCGCGGACACTGGGACGAGGATCCAGCGGGAATTTAGTGCTCAGGTTGTGAGATCGCTGGCTGAAATCGTGGTTTGATGGCGATTGCTCCCGGAAGCAATTTTTCAAACGGAGGATCTTGTGGTCCAAAGCCACTCATTCAAAACTTATGGAGAAGAGAGAGCGTTGATATACCAAAATAGTGACCATTGTTCCCATCCGTAATTGACAACGAAATCGGCCCTTTCCTGTCCATCCAATGGAGCCTTGGCTTCGCAAATGGAGGCCAAATAGAGCAATAACGGTAACAGCAAGCTTAAATAGGCAAATACGACCCGTATAAATGATGAGGTGGATGAACTGAATTATCTATCCTGCAGATTCTATCTAGTTAAGAAGGAGGAGCAGGCTAACCTACCGAGGCGCGCAGACGGTCACGTGGGCCAAGAGTCACGTGGGCTAAGAGGATTTGGCTGTTCGCGTACGGCCAATTCCAACAATAAAGACGGATCAGCGTGTGGAGCCGCATCGGGATGTGGAGATACATTGTAGAGTACAAGAACGTAGTCTTGTCTCAGTCCCTCAGACGTACTCTGCGACCTAGACAATGACGAAGTCAAAGTGCGCTAGCACGTCTGAGCCAAAACTATAGGCTGATTGTCATTTAGCCCCACAGAAAAGGCGAGCTATACCTATTTAGGCGAAATATATGTGTATTAGCTTATAATCTGTAATTCAACAAGGTGGGACTCTTCCTCGCATACTCCGTACGCACGTTCAATTTGGGCAACGAATAAAATTTCCATCCGTATACTATTTTAGCTAAGGGACTTGAGGGAGTGGCCTACCCTGCCTGTATGGACAACCCTATCCCACGCGCCGGTGGTGAATTTGCTTCCTTTTAGCGTGCCAAGAATTTTGGGTCTTGGCATGACTTTTTTTCCAATTTGGAGGATCAACGCCATCAAGGCCAACTTCTACATGGAATTACGCAGGTCACAACGCCAGCGAAAGCCTAAAACTATATGGGAAGAAAAGGGTGCTCCTTCTGCAGCTAGAGACCCCAAAATCACCAATAGAACTGACCGAACGGAGCAGAAAACGGCGCTCAAACCTGTTGCCAGTGGACCTCTTCCGAAAACGCTCGAAATTGACGCTAATCGACTCCCTGATCTCCCTGCTTACGAACCGCCATTGAAGTTACGATTTGAGCGTTCAAAATCGCTTCTAAAAGGTCTCTCGCAGCTTAATACGTTCCAAAAACTCCTTACGCCCTCTATTATCAATAGAATTGTTGAATCAACGAACAGCTATGCACAAAACGCTCGAAATACGGATTTTGAAGAAGAAGAAGATCCTGAATCCTTTTTCAGACCCTGGAAACCAGTCAATATAATCGACATTTGGCGATATATCGGCTGTTTGCTTTATATAGGATATTACAGATTATCTAAACACGAAGAACATTAGAGCGAGTCTGGCTATTTAGGTTAATTTATAAGCCTAGTAAGATATAAGCAGATTTATCAATATTTTATACTTCGAGATTATATAACTGCTCCTTATCAAGAGCATAAGACGTTTATTTAGTAAATAGAGCCAATTAAGTCTATAGTTAAGCAAAATTATAAGGAGAATTAGTATCTAAGCTCTTATTTGGCTATCAATAAGGCTATAATAGCCTATAGAGGCTGTAGTACTCATAAGGTCAAGCTCCTGAATAAGTCAATTAAGGAGGGCTATAAGATGTAAGTACTCAGCGACGCTAGATACGTCTATAATTAGTTATAATATAGCTGTATCAAAGGACCAGAGGATATCCCTTAAGAGGGCATCAAATTTGATCGAGTTATTTGTTACAAATCCTCCCGCGACCTACGCCAAGGACCATATTCCCTGTGGCACTGACCATGGCTCACAGAGCTCATCTCGGACCCAGCTCCCCGCCGCTATTCTAGCTATCACTGACGACAGGTACCCACAGTTGTCTGTACCTGGCCTCAGCGAGATAAGGGGCACGGACATGTATATAGAGCGTTGTGTTCCCACTTTCGTTTCCTTTTCTTCACGCTTCGTCTTGTATATTAGGCCCAACCATAGCTCTCCTGACATTATTGAAAAAGAGCTTATAAAGCTTACTATGGTACATCTAGCACTAACGTTTGCCCTTGTTATTCGCCTTACATAGTATTTGCGTCAAATTCATTTAATGCGTGTTTTTTACTTCTTTTTAGATAATCTCTTTCTGAATGTCAACGTTACTTAATTGCTACTTGCTCTTCATATTTGCTATATAAGCACTACTCGCAAAAACGCTTAAGGAGTCCCTGTATAAATTTTACAGCTAAAGAAGCATAACTGTAGCCTTATTTGGAATTCTATACTTGCAAAAGTTATTAATAACACACTTGTTTTTCTATAGTAAGATAATAACATTATTATAGACTATATAACTACTTATAATCTTTAAAATAGTATAGTTTTACAACTTTAAAGGCAATCCTTTCTTATATTAATAAATATATAAATTATACGTTTTATATTTAGCAACTTACTCTTTAAATAGCTCTATATTCCTTACACTATTAATAATTATAATTACTAACTATATAAATAGTGTTAATAAAAGCAATTAATTATAAAAGAACTTTACTACTTATAGGCCTTACGAACACTACATTTGGCGCCCTTTATAATACTATATACTTGATATTTGCGTGGTCAACAGCTATCTTATTTAGAAGAGGGATATAGCAGATACAAAGAAAAGAGGCCAACGCCCGTTTCGAAAAGCACTCATTGATGCCCTTCTCAATATGCCCTACCCTATCGAAACGCTAGTGCCTGTTAAGCAGCACTATAAGAGCAAGCCTATGCCTCTGCTCAATCGAGCAACTCAAGGCCATAGCTGGCAGCCCTTGGAGAAGCGTTGATACTGCGTATGGTGCAAAAAGAGTGCTCAAGAGGAGGAGAAGAGCAATAGGCCAGCGCTAGCAGAAATCGTCAATTACGTCGCTCCTAAGCGTACGAAGATGACGTACGGAGGATGTAGAAGCTGCAACGTATCTCTATGCGTAAAAGGACCTTGTTTCGAGCTATATCATAGTCAATAGCCAAATAATAGCTTGCTGGCGCTGCTTGCTGGCGCTTTTTACTCGATTTCTACTCGATTTCTGTATGCCAAGCAATTTTGACGCTAAAAGGAAGCAAATTCACCACCGGCGCGTGGGATACAGCAGAGCGTTAGGCCAACCTTCAAGGGCCTCCACCCCAGAATGTACCTTTAAGCAAGTACGCGCTACCTATCAATAACTTTGCCCAATTTTAATTAGTAGTAGGGCAATGGGAGCGTATTGAAATGCCCTTGATGACGCGGGTTCACCTACTTGTAGTGCGCGATATTAATTGTGCATATTCGCGCAGGCCTAAGGCCATAGAAACCTTGCATAGGAGAGGAAAGGAGGAGGGGGGGGAGGGTAAAGGGGCATTCTCCGCACCAAATGATCAAGTATTGTGCATTGCGAAAGTGTTGCGAATCCTTGGCGTTGTACCAAGAATCGCTAGCGTCGTGTTGTCAAACAGAACACAGCTCTTAGGATCATCTATGAAATTATATTATATAGATAGTATATCAAAATAATGCTAAGCTTCTCCTGATTCTAATAACATGGATTTTAGATATATAGAACTCTAATTAAGAAAGTAGAATTTATTATATAAAAAGTTAGCTTTATTAATTGAGATCTATATTGACTATTTATGTAGATCACTAGAATCAGGAGAAGCTTAGCAATATTTTAATATGTTATTTACATGATACAAGTCTATAGATGGCCCCTCAAGAGCTGTTTCTGTTTGATGACGCCGCAGCGACAATTCTCGATACAACGCCAAGGATTTGCAAGAGTTTCGCAATGCACAGTACTTACTTTCCCCATGCCCATATAGTTATTCACCAGAACACGGGCGACCAACCTCCTCTGGATCTAGTTTGTCAGATATGATGAGTTGCATATGGTTGCATGACACAACATTATTACCGCATCATCATGCCACACACGCTTTGCATTTTGTAGTAATGAGCTGCGGTCATGATTCTTCGAGTTCTATCGTGGCTGCGCGAAAGAAAGATGGAGGGGAGACGTGGGGCAGAGCCTCGAGGATGGGACAGTATGAAACCGCGGGTATATCCCAAATCATTTTCTGGACTGTGGCTGACAATCTCTAACATTCACAGCCTTTTGGAATTGCTAGTATTCAATCTTGCCATTACATAGGCTAGCAGCTTCGGTATCCAAAGTTCAATCATGGCTACCCAGTCAGAATCCCAAATCAAACACCATCCAGACCACTGGTCCTTTACCTCCAATTATCACCATCATGTCGAACGTACCGTGCACCCTGTCATCGTGGAGCTTATCAAATGGGTGTGTGCTTCTGATATGCTAGTTCTCCCTTTAACATTCGGGAGGCAAGCCACAGAAATCCTTTATACATAACACCACTTCCGGCATGACTTGAGCTGTTTCTACAGAATAGGATGCTAACCGCCAAATTCCGCTCAGGCAACGCAGACCTCGCCTCCAGATTCCTCTTCTGCTGTCCTTGATGACGGCTGTGGCCTCGGCACTGTGACCGCTGAAGTCAAGAAATCTTTTCCAGACCTTTCCGTCCTGGCAATCGACTCGGCCGCGGGGATGCTCGAAGCTGTCAATCGTAAGACGGAGAAGCACGATTGGAAGAATGTGACGACAAGACTCCTGGATGGCGGCAATCTACACAGTACACCCACTCTTCGCGATCCTCTCTTTCAACGGGCTCTATACCCAGACCACCGTTCCCCCACCTGCAACGTATAGCTTGTTCCTACATCCAAGCTCACCAAGCTCACTTCCCTCCCTCCCACTTCTCCAAATTGGCTCAACGCTAACGCTCACCCAACCCAAGGCGTCTCCTCCAACACCATCACCCACGCTTTCGCCTGTACATACATCGACCTGGCCCACAACGCTACTGCGTGCATCAAAGAACTCCACCGCGTCATCGCTCCCGGCGGCATCCTCGGTATGAACACTTGGGCCGACCCTATCCACCCGAGCATCGCGACCCCGTGGACCAAAGCCTGCCAGCAAGTGTACCCGGAATTCAAAGCGCCCTTGGTCACAAGCCCGAAATGGTCGACAGCTGACCAGATCAAGCACAATCTCGAAAAGGCGGGGTTCAAGGACGTGCAGACGAAGCAGGTCATCACCCATTGGAGATGGGCGAGTCCGGAAGAGATGACGGAGTGGTTCTTCAATGGGGGAAATCCCGTTTGTGGGAGGTGGCATGAGGCACTGGTGGAAGAGGTCGGAGGCAAGCTGGAGGGTATGAGGGAGCGGTTCCACGAAGAGTTGGTCAAGGAGTACAGAGAAGTAGGTGGGCAGCTGCTGAACGAGGAGGTGGTGAACCTGACCATTGCAAGAAAGTAGTGGGATGCAGAGCGCGCGGGTTGGTCGTGCCATTGTATGCACCACTACCCGCTCTGTTGACGAGCAACAAAGCTTGATGTGAATCTTCTGCCCGGTTCACCAGTCGTGACGGTGTATGCACGCACCTGAAAAAGTGGCGCTCAGTAACTCTCCCCATCATAACATGGCCACCACACCTCCCAGATAATTGCTTGTCTATATATGTTGCGACCAGAAACCTCGTCATTGACGCTCAAATGGGCTAGCAAGCTACTGAATTGGGCTCAGCTGATAGCCTGTGAGCTGGCCCTCGCTCTCCCTAACGTCCCGCAGGCGTTGAGGCATCTGTTTCATCGAATGATTGATATTTTTCTGTTATAATTTCTCCCATCGCTCTATTAGTACTAGTTAGTCAACTATCAACTCTCCATGGTATCTCTTTAAAAGAGATAGATGAAATTCTATCACTTATACTTATTAATTGTAAAATCTAACTTGATAAAAAGTTGGCCTCAAAATACTATCAAACGACATTTGCCGTATGCGGAGGGTAAGGAAGTACTCTACTGCAGTGTGGTGGGAGAGCGGGCGAACCGTTTCAAGTTTCAATTTTCTTCATCTCCCATCTCCCATGTTTGGCGGGACCCCGGGGGGGAGGTCAGCTGTGTCCCCCACCCCGTCATCGTCCTCATCGTGCATCAAGCTCGCTTATTCGGAGGATTGCCGTGCCGTGCTGTAACTATGTAGTAAGTAGTAAGTAGGTAGTCAGTAGTCGCAACGAATGCGGAAGTAAGAAGTGGACGAGCTAAGGTAGGCGTGGAAGGGGGAAAGGATAAGCCGCACGCAAACGGCTGCGGCGGTGCTGACAGAATGGTCTGGACTGCGACTTCCCCAAGAGGTATGGTATCTCTATAGATCGATCGTGGACTGATTGTGGCTTTTTAGGCTTTTATCTGATATACTGTATCAGTCTCAATTTTTTGGAAGTATAAAATGAATGAGGGAGGTCTTATTGTTCTGCATTGAGATTGGTGTTGCTGTTTCTCGGGGCTCGTGATGTATTTTGTCGACATAAAAGTACCGGTCACCGTCAACGAATGAGATGATGTACATGACTTTGCCGAAGGAAACGCCTGATGTCGAAAGCGTTGTGTGATCCTCCGATACGGTGGTATCTTGCTTCTAAGACAAAGCTACGTTCATGCAGCTCCCACGGAGGAAGACAGGGTTATGCTCGTCCTCGGAGTCGGCGGAGATGGTGAAGTCGGGAACCCAGGATGGAATTGGAGTCTTGAAGTGGCGGGTCTGCCACATGAGGCCCAGGAGAGCGAAGCCGTCGGCTTCGTGCTTGAGGATATATGACATTGTTGGGACGAAGGTCCAGGCTGCTCTTTGTGGTCTGAAGTTGCATTAGTCGATGGCATCGGAAGGTTTTCGAAGGACAAGGCAGCAACCAAAATACAGGAGTCATTGCACCTTCCCAGAAGGCTCTTGTCAACCTGCTGTGCAGAGTGCGTAGAGAAGCAAGTTGATTGATAGCTACGGGGGTAGAGAGCGTAGATCTATGTACAATTAGCTGTACCGTACAGCGAAATTAGAAGCGAAATTGCGTTGGAAATTGACCAATTAGAAGCAGCAGAAACGCAGGGATTACGCATATTAAACGCGGCCAATAGGCCCTCTCAGAAGGTCAACAGATTCAAATGGACACCCTGACATCTGTGACCTGGTCAATCCAAGAACGTTCGAATGTACTAGAAAGAGATTGCTGGTACTGCTTCGTGTATTCTGCTCGACTGGAAGGTTGTCATTGAAATGTGCCCCAGCAGCGAAGAAAGAAATCCAATGCGCCCAGACACTTCCACAGCCGATCTTCGGATTCTCTTTTGAGTTCCATCCCACTACAAATTCTTGCACTACCCAGATCCGCGTAAATCAGGGCCGATACAGGAGCTCCACGAAATTGACCTGGAAGTTGTAAGTCGACCAGATCGCCTTATCGAACTTTTCTATACTTCGCATTGCAGCGTCTGTCCCGACGGTTCCTGATCCAAGCAACACCAGGACGCCTGACGCCAAAGCGTAGATAGGACGCATCAACTTGATCTGATGCGCTTTCTCCTCTAAATCACCCTGGTTTATGCAGAGTGCGTCGACCCAGAGGAGGCGTTTCGAACCAGGCCAACGCGGTTGTCGAAGTGCGCTGTTCAAGTTGGGAGTGATGTTTTTACCTTCCCATTCAGAACCGTGCGCTCAGCGGGCGAGGTTGGGCCCCAGACGTACGATAGAGCTTCGTACTCAGGAGTCTCATCGTACCACACCATCTCAAGTGTGCCGAAGATCAGGCGGCGAAAATTGGGTGCGCTTTGTGTCAAGTAACTTATATAACACACCCTTATTGTCGTTTACCATATGTCTTTTGAGAATGATACGCTATCCCGTCAAGATGAAGAACAAGAATTGGCGGGTCGCTTCTTAGAACCCAACAACCTAAAGGGCACAAACCTGGGCGCTCCAAGTTGGGAGCGACCCAAAATCCGGCCCCTCAGGATAGAATTCAGTTGATGCTCAAAGATGCCCAGGGATGCTCACGTCTCGCTCAGCCTCAGAACAGCCTTATACAGCCACAACTCAGGCTACTCATTCATCGCTCAAATCACAGCCACGAGTGCTCAGGTCTCAAACTGGAAATGGGACTTGGAGTGGTTAAGATTCGGGTGTGAATGATCTGGTATCCTGCACCGAATCTTGACCGCCCCTTGGCACCCAGTTAGGTTTGCCGTTTTTGCTGCCTGACTCAGGAATTAGTCACCCGGCTCAACTTCGGCTCAGCCTCTGCTCAGGCCGCACCGCCACTGCTCCTGCTGCTCACCCTCTTGCTCACCTTCTGTCCTGATGCTGCACAGGGGACTCAGTCTGGCTTCACCTGTACTCAGTCCCCCTTTTGAACCCTTGCTATTATTGGCAACATGCCTTGCCCACAGCTGTCGCCTCTTCGAATTTGGATTAATTCTACGCGAAGGTCTGGTGGCCCAGTTTTGGGACCTCTGGGCGGGATGGCGCATTGAATCCTTATGCACAGTGTATCTAGACTCACGTGTTATATCTGCCTTTGCAACATGGCGATTTTTAGTGCTATTAATATCCGGGCTGCTTTGTCTCTTTTTACTGATTTCATTTCTCTTTTCTGATGTTTTGTGTATACTGCAATGGCTCGAAACTAGAACAAGTCAATAGTCCATAGATTGCTAAAACGAAAGCTGGAGAATCTATCTACAACGCGCCCATGCGCAGAGATATAAACTCCAACGTCAGGGGGTGTGGCATGTCCGTGCGTTGACCACGCTATCCACCTTTCTGTCATAAAATGCGCCAATTTTTCATTGGCCAGCACATTAAATGCCAAGCAAATCTAAAATCAAGTTGAGCCAATAAACAGCCTCTGTGAGAACCTTATTTGAAAAAGATACTAAGCCTAATTAGGAAGTAGCAACACCAACAGAAAAGAATTGCTCTATCTACTATACAGAGGGCAAATGACGCGCCCAGCACCTCGAATTATAACAAATTGGGATGTTACACTTGCTACATAACCATTTCGTGCGATGGATACCCTGTCTGCTTCTTCGTGCGTTGTTTGGAGCGTTAGTAGACAGTTCTTGGAGTGCTTTGCGTGGCCTGCCTGCTTTTCGACCGGGATTGCACAAATTACAGTAGCGATAGCTATCTCCTTTGACCCATGAGTGCCCTTTATAGCTATCTTTTGGTACTGGCTTAGTACGAAGATTGTAGATAGCTTGGGGACGGCGTGGTCGCCGTTGCTGTAAAATAGCTCCAGGTCCTTGAAGTAGACTTTGTGCTATTTCTTCTTGAAATTGGGCATGTGAGAGCTTTTTGCCTTTTTTGCCTAGCTTATAGAGGATATACGCGTTTGTAACAGCTGCGTCGATAAGGAGATAGAATAAGGGCAGCCAGTTGCGTCGATAATAGTGTCGGCTTACTGAATAATATGAATTCAGTCTTGCATGGTTATCTGAGCCACCCATCTCTTTATTATAGTGCTCAAGAGCATACAACTTTTGTAGATATTGTGGCTTGTTTTCAGAAGGCGCCGAGGGCGTAGAATTCGCAGAGAGCACAGAATTCGCAGGAGGCGCAGGGAGCGCAGAATTTATAGGAGGCGCAAGAGGCGCAGAGAGCGTAGAATTCGCAGGGAGCGCAGAATTCGCAGAATTTAGAGAATTTGCAAGAGGCGCAGGGAGTATAGAATTCGCAGGGCACGCAAATTTCGCAGTATTAATAGAGTTTGCGGCATTTGCAGTTTCTGTATCTACAGCAAGCTTTAGAGAGGCCCTAGGACGCTTGCTTCTGTCGAAATAGGTGTATTCCTTTATAGTAGGATTATGAATAGTGGTCATTATTGCCTTAGAAGCTAAATCACAAAATGCGATATAATTGACGCTGCTAACCACGTAATTAAACCACTCTCTATGGTTATTTTGCTTTGTTATTGCATCATGGAGATATGCTAGCTCTTTGGGTATACCAGATCCTGCTTTAGCTATACCATTAGCTCTAATTCCGAGTTTGTAAAGCCGTTAATAGAGCTTATAAGTTGTAAAGAAGTTATCTAGATGTAGAACGTAAAATGGCCTAGAACGTAAAAATCAAACTAGAAGCGATTCTGTGAAATCTAGTATAATTGCCTTACTCTGAGAAAAATTAGGATATTAAGCTAATTCAGCTACCTTCTCTGTAGTACTACTGAATTTGAAATCGATTATATAGCTGTTAGAGCAATAGAGACTATATATCTTGTATCCTTCGCTAGCAGCTTTTGAATTCATCTGAATAGTATGTTTCGAACGCCCTTTAAATTTAACCAACTGCTTGTCAACTAAGAGATTTTGTGGCAATTTGTATATATATGAAGTCGTAGCATTTCAAAATCGAGTGGCAAGAGGCTCAACTTTTTTGTACCATTAGTTATTAAGGAGTGGCCCTGGCCTATTAAGCTTGAGATACCTTGAAATATGCTGAAATCTGTATGAAGACATCTACGGGGTCATAGGCTAATAAGGATAGTTCTCTTTTTGATTCTAATAATAGGCTAGATCTCTGCTACTAGGTTATACTCTAATTAAGAGCATAGCGTTAATATATCCTCTGATATCTGCAGCAGTTATATCTCTCTATTCTTATTGAATTTAATTAAATTCTTGAGATCTCTCTTCAAATACGTATTTATTTGTATGCTCTGCAATATCTATAAAGAGTTTATTTAGAATAAATCGATAAAATAGATTAATTAGTGTGTATTCGTAAGCACAAAGTTTCGACTGCCCTAACGTATATTGTGATGGAAGTGTCTACAGCTTGCCTATTGAGATTGCCTATAGCGTGGTTGAGGGTATTATAGATCATGTGATCAGTCTTAGTGTGATTAGGGTATATGTGGACAGTGCGTTCGCACACTATACATAGATTCCTCAGCTTTCGTTTTAGCAATCTATAAACTATTAACTTGTTCTAGTTTTGAGCTATTACAGTAAACGAAAGCTCAACACGCTCTTTATATCCTGGACAGGATACAAAACTGTCTAGCCTTAACAGAACGGCTCAAAATTGCTGCGGGAGTACGTACGACAGAAAACAGTGCCACCGAGGAACGGTGCCACAGAGGAGCCGTGACAAGAAATTCGGCAGAGATCCTCCACGGTAGAGACCTCCACGGCAGAGTGATTCAGCGTCGTGCAGCACGAGCACCACAGCGCCGCAGACAGACACCACAGACTCCACAGATTCTACACGAGATCAGCAGAGAGGTTCTCATAGATTCCACACGGATTTACAAAGGCCAGAAGGCATATGAAAGATTTACAAAAGGGCATACGCAGATCAAGATTGCAAAAGAACAAAATTAGCATAAGCACCTGAGGGTTTGCAACAGGGCGAAATTGTGTGAGCAAATGAGGATTTGTAAGAAGCATGAGTGAAGCAAGCATTTGCAGGGGGTTTAGAGTAAATGTGGATCTGACGGAAGAGAATACTGCTGAGTGAATTATAATGAGAGGTGGAAGAGATAAGTTCTATAATATGATAGAACAGTGCTATAGTGAAGCAGTACCACAACAGAGTAACTCAGCAGAGACTCTCTACTGCAGACCTCTACGGCAGAGCGATTCTGCATCATCAGCACAAGCACCACAGCGCCGCAGACAGACACCACAGATTCCACAATTCCACACGAGGTCGGCAGAGACAGATTCCACACAGATTTGCAAGGGCCAGGAGGCAAATGGGAGATTTACAAAAGGGCACACGCAGATCAAGGTTGCAAAAGAACAAAATTAGCATGAGCACCTGAGGGTTTGCAACAGGGCGAAAATTTGTGAGCAAATAAGGATTTGTAAGAAGCATAAGTGAAGCAAGCATTTGCAAGGGGTTTAGAGTAAATGTGAATCTGACGGAAGAGAATACTACTGAGTGGATTATGATAAGAGGTGGAAGAGATAAGTTCTATAATACGACAGAACAGTGCTACGGTGAAGCAGTACTACGACAGAGTAACTCAGCAGAGACTCTCTACTGCAGACCTCTATGGCAGAGCGATTCTGCATCATCAGCACAAGCACCACAGCGCCGCAGACAGACACCACAGACTCCACAGATTCTACACGAGATCAGCAGAGAGGTTCTCATAGATTCCACACGGATTTACAAAGGCCAGAAGGCATATGAAAGATTTACAAAAGGGCATACGCAGATCAAGATTGCAAAAGAACAAAATTAGCATGAGCACCTGAGGGTTTGCAACAGGGCGAAATTGTGTGAGCAAATGAGGATTTGTAAGAAGCATGAGCGAATCAAGCATTTTGCAGAGGGCTCAGAGCGAATGTGGAGCTGACAGAAGAGAATGCTGCTGTGGATTGGAGGAGCGAGTTCTGTGATGTGAGCGTGTGGTGAGACTTCTGATTGACTGTCTTTCGATTAGGGGCAATCGATATTTCGGAGGGGGGGGTAGTGTGATGGAAGTGTCTACAGCTTGCCTATTGAGATTGCCTGTGGCGTGGTTAAGGGTATCATAGATCATGTGATCAGTCTTGGTGTGATTAGGGTATATGTGGACAGTGCGTTCGCACACTATACATAGATTCCTCAGCTTTCGTTTTAGCAATCTATGGACTATTGACTTGTTCTAGTTTCAAGCCATTACATATATGGGATTAGAACGTTCAGTTTTTCTGGGTAAGGTTGATAAGGACCTATTTACTCAGCAAGGATTTTCAGCTTTTCTAACTTGTTTTGAGTAGATTCAACTTGT